AGCTTGTAATTTGGCCCCTTCTTAACGGAAGTAAATGATTTTTGATCCACATATTCCCCATGTCCTGCACCTGTAAAAGAATTTGAAAGAATGTTGAATAATTTGAGTTTGGTAAAAATACACAAAGATACAATAAAAACAAAATTTGAAGCAGACTGAGAAGAAAAAAATGTCTTCAAATTTTTCAAGGTAGGTGTATTTTGTGTAGAATTTTTTCCGCTGCAACGTATCAAAATTTGGAGATGATGATTGTTTGATACGAGAGTTACGAGCCAGGAAGGAACGGGAAATTGAAAAAAATCCTTTATTTTTACAGGAATTTTTTCATTTTCAAATTCCTTACCAGCTTGTAACTCTCGGTATTAAAAAATCGCAATCTCCAAATTTTGATATTTTGTAGGGCAAAAAATTCTACACAAAATATGTCTTTTTTAAAAAATTTGAAGACATGTGTTTTTCTCTACTTTTGTTTGTAATTTTTATTGTATCTTTATGTATTTTTACCGAAATTAAATCATTCAACATACGTTTAAAAGTTTAGGATCGGGTCAAAAGTCTTAAATTCCGTTAAAAACGGGCCAAACTACAAGCCTCCAAAGACAGGCATGTTGTCAGTCGGCAAGCTGGCAAATTTTACAACTTTGGCGAGGTGTAACTTGACGAGGAATTCACTTTTCCAGGCTTTCTTTTGCGGCTTTCTTTATGCTGGCGTAGACTCTACTAATCAGCGAAAAACGAAAAAAATTTGAGAGGTCGTTGTTCAAAAGTGTGCGAGTTGGCATGGAATGGCCCATATATAAGTTGAGTTTTATGCACAAAGAAATTTGCTTAAAGTGTGTTATTATAAAAGATCAGTGAGTGAAGATTTTTCTGGCTCTTTTTTAGGTAAGAATCCTGCATTTTTTTTCCGAGTATTTGCCGGCAAAATTGATCCTTTTGGTAGTTTTTTAGAACCGTAAAAATTGATTTGTTGGTAAAGTTGGCAGACAGTGTGCATAACTTAATTGAACGCAATTCACCGCTTTTTTCGATAATTGAGCTACTGAAGAATATGCCCATGGATTTGCCGTCGACTTTCGTTCTACCTGACCCTTGGGCTGAGTTGAGGCAGTTTTCTATCAGGTATGCATTTCGCCCAGTTACCTGTGGGTTTACTTCGCAAAAGCGGTTTAGAACAGCGGGCTTCTTGTTCCTTTCTATTGGCCTTCTTTTTATTTCAAAATTTCCACTGTTCTTTCATGAACACTTTAGACCGCCTGATTCTACAAATAAAGAGAATGAAAACTCACTGAAACGACCTGCAACTCCCATGGAATGTCATGCCATAAAACGGCTAAAGAAGGACAGTGGAATGGGGCTCCAACAGGTGAAGTTGGAGCCGTTTGAAGGTATTGTTTTCTGCAGAAAAATGTTTTATTTCTTTGGAACTTCCTAGTGGTATTTGTCTGTGAAAGAAATTGTCAAACTTTTTTCCTGAACCTGCCTTGTGATGATAAGGTTTGTGATTGCAGAGGCAACTTACAAAGATGAGTACCGCTACGAAGATTCATATGATGCTAGAGGTTTTGACATTCAAGATGGCTGCTTCGCCATCAGATGTAAAAATGGCACACGGTTAGATATGTCTGCAGAAATAGCCAGTCACCTAAGAAATGCACAATACAGGCATATTTTCTTTGTTTGATTTGACTGCTTTACTGTTTATTACACTTCATACTGCACTTTCGACCTTGACGTTTACAGGATTGACCCAGATCTCGCTCCAGTATCAAGTGAATGCAGCGAAGTACAAATTCTTGTGGAAAATGAAATTGTTAGTTTTAGTCTGTTGGCAGACTTTTTGCCGCTCTGTTGCAGGATTATTGTAAGTTGTATCTGCTTGGTTCGTTTAGTTACTAGTCCCTCCTTTACGGATTGTCGTACCAGTCAACTATCCAGAGACTGGGGCAACAGTTTGGTCGGACCCTCGAGTAACAAACGACCCAACCCTAATGGAACTTAACTCGCAGTTTGATAAACATTTGGTCATGACTCCTGATGCGAACTCCATACCTCAAATCCTTCATGCTTGGAAAGTTGCTTCACACTATATTTATAAGTCAAGTGCAAGTGCGAGGCGAAGCAGATTTAGTTGATTTGTTGTAATAGAAACTGTTTGTTATCACTATCATATATAAATGATATGATTTGAAATGTCTCCTAACAAGATCTTGTAAAAGAATTCTATAAATTTTCATATTTCTGTGTTCGCTCTTGTTTTAAAGATGAAAAGCGTGCAGAGCCTTCACTTGAGCACGGAGAGCTAGAAATATATTTGAAGGGCTTTTTAAAATTTTAAGTTTACTTCTGGTGTTCCCTCCCTACTACCCAGTACCCAGTAACTTTAAATGGTGCTTTAACAACATATCCAATTTAGATAGTTACTTTTGTTTGCATCTTGAGGCTGGGCATTCGTCCCAGGCAATCTCCAAACCCCAGCGGCATAAGTTTTCCTTTCGCAACACCTTTTACCGTTACTATTACTTTTATGGAAGAGCCACACACTGTAATATTCAGCATAATGTTTACTGCGAAGTGTAAAATCGCAACAGTGATTTTTATAAGTTGGGAACAGTGATGCAAACGGATTATTAAATTGGAAACGAAGAAAGTCAAAGTTGGTTTTACGCAACAAAGAATGTTTATTTAGTACACTTTTCTTTCGCAGCCGGCGAGCCCCTTAACTAGGAGTACTTGAATTAACTAAATCATTTTTATCAAAATGAAACTTACAGGTGAATTTTTGCACTAACGGTTGCTTTTTAAAATACCGAAAGGAAATAAGAAATGCCTACCATTTCTGTGAAGCTTTTTTAAACGATCATGCATCCGTTCATGTCCTCCTGCTAAAAAATATGTTTAATGCACGTCTAAAAAGAAAAAGACGCTCTCTTGTGGCTGCTTAAGAAATCGACTTGAGTAGAGTAAAACAATAGTGGTGGTATAAACAGCAACTAATGACTCCAAACTCACATAATGCAGAATTCCCGGCCGTTCTAACGAACACTGCATACAATGTGCTTATCTAACATTAAATCAACATAAATAGTTTTAAGAAACTGAGCGTACATCGAAACGAACTACATTCAACACACAGAATGAAGGAAGCAGAGATTAAAAGAAAGAAACCACAACGATATGAAAGAACAATTTAGATATGCAACACCATTCATGGCTCAGGTAAAACTTCGTCATGCTTCTCATGGTGAATATGCGGTTGCGGGCTCAATTTACTATGTACAGATGGATAAATAATAGATGACTTACGTTGTGGAACATTATCTGGACGAGGAATTTGTAATGACTCGTCGTGAGCTGCAATCTCTACATTAAGCTCTGCTGTCGGTGCGACCTGGAAGACAACTGTTAATTCTCAAAAATATAATGAACATTGTGTTTTACAGAAGTTTGGGTGGAACAAGTGCCTTCACAACCATAAAAAACAGAATGGGAATTCTAACGTGAGCCAGAACTAGTAAGCCACTTAATCAAGCTCTTGCGTTACAGATCCTAAATCTAACAAACCAAATGAATAAATCTCGATGAGCCTACCAAACAATACTATAAATCTGAAAGTAAACGACTACACGAAGTAAAAGCAAAACAAAAGAAGAACATTAAAGTTGGCTAACCGGAGTCGTGGGTACTGCTGGTTCTGCAGAAATGTGGATGGGAAGTGCACTGCTCACTAAGTTAGATCCTGGGCTCTTCGCTTTATCTTTGTTCATTGCATAATCACCCGAATCAAAGAATTTCTGTAAAGAAAAAAATGGTTTTCGTTACTCTTAGAACTAATAATGGCATTTCCAAATTTCCTCTCGAAAAAATTTTCTTTTGGGCACTGCAGCAGAATACGCCGCATGAAACTGTAAATGTTTCTATTTAGTTAAATCCAAAATACTGTTCAACCGAGAGTAAGGCAAAACAAATTTTATGTTGGCAAACACTTTACTCTATGATGCTGCAGTTTCTTCTGCAAAAATACACTTTTAGGCTTCGGAGGCATTCTTCCATTAGACGCAAGACGTGCCATCAATTCTTGTTCTTGCTGCTTTTCCTCAGTCAAGCTTTCCGCAGTTATCTGTTGTGGCCTAATCACTTCTTCACACATCTCACTCCTCATTTTAAACAACTGAAAAACAGAGGACAGTAAAAGTTCCAGTATTTAAGTAAAAGGAGAGCTAGTGGAATCGTCAGTACTCCACTCATAAGTTGTAAAATATGCTAACTCTAGCAGTCCAAGGTTCGACGGTAAATTGGCGCGTTCAGAACCCACATCACCAAAACCTCTTGAAATACGGAAAAGTAGCATTTTTTGAAGTAATTCTTTCCTACCGCCTTAAACTTACAATAAAAAGAGAAAAGAGGAAAATGATAACAGTTCCGATTCTAATTATCCATCACGACAAAGCAGCAGAAATACGCTGATTGAATGCAATTACGTGTAAAATAAAACTCATGAAAGTGTATTCCGTTAAGAAAACTAATTATCAAATTCTCTGCCAAGGAACAATGAAAATTACTGAACAATAGTTGAAGTTTTTTAAAGAAGAATGCACTTCAATACTTTTTATTGATGTAATTAGGTTTGAAAGTTACCTCCCTCGAAAGTTGTTTGAGCTAACAAGATTGTTAAAAGGAACCAGTAAGATCCCCAGAAAGAATTTTCTACTGATCAGCAAGGAAGCTCTAGTACATCAAACAGTGAACGAGTAAAGCAGGTGACATAAATCTACTGCCGACTTATTCCAGAGAAATTAACAAAGACAATGAAGGTATGGGACAACACATCAATACAGCTGGTATAAAATTCAGATCTTCCTACCGATGCCCGTAAACGGGCATTGAAAGATTATTGAAAAAGGCACATGTGCATACAGTTTAAGAGAACTTCTCAAAAATTTGGTGATTCTGACGGGTCCAACGTTCTAAGTCCTGTTCAAAATACTGCGCAAATTACAGGATTATGAAACTTCTTCAAAAAAGGAATAAATTCATTTACAGCCAAAACCCATCAGTTTATCCTCTTTCATTCAGTTGTATGGACAGAAATGACGGGACCTGCAAAGAGCGTATGAAAATGAAAAGAAATATAGCTACCCTGCTCCAGTCACCTCCCCCAACGTTTTCTTTAACATCCATGAATTAAATTTGCTAAAATTTCTGCAGTAGGAAGCGAGTGCAGATTTTAATTTCCTAGGGTTTATATGAACAAGTGGCGATAAAGAGTAGCACCCTCCAGTTTGGCAACGCCATACGCAATGCGCCTTCAGTGGACACTTCCCACTAGTAATTGCTGACCATAGCAGAGAGGAACACAGAGCACAAAAGTGGTACTTTCTCGGCTAATAAAAAAAAAATTAAAATGGAAAGTTCCTGATGCCACCAACCAATTTACAAAATCAGTTTTAGTGTCCATTAAGATTTAGCTGACGTATCGGAAAGAGCAAACCATGGGAGCGATCGCCTGACTGCTTCCAACAACTCTAAAAAATCAAAAACTTTGAAAATTAGTAACCGTGTTCAGTCATAGAGTGCGTTCAGTGCTACCAAAGTGAGGGAGTCCCCAAACATCTTAGGTCTTATCCCAAACACTTAAATTTGCCGTACAAACGTTCGTTGACTATTATTTTTGCTGTAAATGCATGAGAGCAAATTATTGCAAAAATCTTGATATCAAGGAACTTAAATTAATAAACATTCATTTAAAAACCTGCTACCGAAAAGGCAAATGAGAAAACAAACAAAAGTAGGCAAATAAAGCTGCTAGACGAAAAAAACAAAAAACTTCAGTTCTCAGCAAAAAATCCTAACTATGTAGACATTAGCGTAAATACAAGAAGTGCTTCAACCTAGCAAGTAATAGGATAAATTCAACGACTGATGAATACAACAAATTCAAAAGCACTTCTTCCAAGACAGGATGGATTTCTGCCATCTCTTCAAATTCCATTAACCTCTTACCAAAAAAGTTTCAGAATGATAGGTGCCTCTTTTGAAAAAGGATAAAAATAATTCTTGCTAAATTTCTATCAGGAGTACGTTGTATACACACCTGACTATAAATGTTCCAACACTTTCTGAACTAGCGCTTGTCTCAAAGCAAAAATAATGAGTAGAAGCACGATACGCAACAAAATAACGCGATAGAAACACTGCAGATCTTTATCCAGTAGAAATATCTCTTTCGTAGTCAAAATTATGACACCAGTAGGGAAGTGAACTATAAAAAATCAATTTAAAACTTTGTCACGAAAGTGGTTGCAGTCGTGACGATTGCAGCAAATTGATCAAAAATTTGTTTTCTTTTCTATAGTACACACATGTCAACGTGCCGTGTTTTTCTCAGCCTGTCTGGGTAGCGATGGGCAACATAGTGACATAAGAGGCTCCGAGAGGCACCGAGAGACGATGTAATAACGCCAGTGCGCACCTTGCACTGTAGAGAAATACACACAGGAGCGAAGAATAGACTGCGTCGCGCAGCTCCAAATAAAAACATACGTGCAACCTTCATGACTGCATTCGAATGAGATTCCTTGAGTAAGTTTGCAATCGTTGCTATCTGAACCTTCCTGAGAACCTCAAATATCTTTACTGACGTGTTTACTGCCTTTTTTTCTGGGATTTTCTGCAGCAGAAACTTATTTTTTCCTACAAGTTAGTAGTGAACATTTGGCAACTTGGAATTTACAAAGTTTTCGTTTAGTTGAGCCTGACGTTCCAGGTGGTTTTACTCACCAGCAGCTTCGGAGATGTGAATTTCTGAGAAAGTGATGAAGTTAAACCTTCAGTTTTCCAGCAGTTAACATTGTCTACTTCCCAACATACTTTTTTTCAAAAAATTCACATTCTTTTTTACACATGGAGTTCTTAACTTCCCTCTGTCCATCTGTATTAATTCTAGCGACAAACAGTTATAATATAAATTTATCTCCTTTGGAGTGGAGATCTGTTTGCGATGCAAACAGAAGCAAAGCATCCTCACTCTGCCGCTAAAGCAGTTCTCACAATCGCTGGTCTATCTAGCTCAAAATGAGTCTTCATTCGAACTGCTTTGTGGATTCAGGTAAGACTGTTAACTAGACGAGCATTTCTAAAACACTAGGAAATAGTAACCAATGCATTTCTTTTTTCTTTTCGGAAAGGTTGACACACAGCCGACGCGAGAAATGCAGGGAAGTGGTGATTTTCAACTAAAATCAGGAAAGCGGTCCACCTGAAAGGGTAGTTGTCGTCGTAATAGCTCAAAAAAGAGTACTGATCGCTTCCAACCAGCGATGCCCAAAAACTTTTTTCAAAAGTTCTTGTTTTCCCCTGGAAAACATCCTAACATTTATAACTAGAGGAGCTTTTTAAAATCTATTATGGGACGTTGAAATTCAATCCAGATAGTGTTATTGGCCTCAACAGCTCCTGTATGAATATACCTGTCAAGCGGATGCTTGAATATCAGACTCCTGCAAGCAGCTTATACATGGATTTAAAAGTGACAAGTGTTTTTCTTCCAAAATACCACCGCTGCTGCAACTGTGGAAATTCGCAGGATTTCAGTACTTTTGGGTGTAAATGTAGAAAGATTGTTGCTTTCGAACGACCACTAATTCTGCATGTATTTTTATAGCGACACCTCCAAATACTGCGGGATTAGAAAAGGAGAAAGAAAAGTTTGTGGCCTGAATGAGATCTTGACAGAAAACGGGGGGACGTTTATTGTGGAGGTGGGAAAATATGGATTCAGAATAGCCTATTTTGGCTTATTTTCTTGCCTCAAGAATAGGACAAAGATGCTTAGAAGCCTTTAAGTTATAAACAGATAAACATTCGCTTTTAGAAGGTTGTTTTTAAAATCAGGTGGATACCTAACTGAGTACCAATACTGTATTTCTGCCATTGATTAATCGTTCATGACGAAATATCCACTGTTGAAACAGCCCCGGAGTCACTTTTAACAAGCATATAAATGTCGGTTGCTCGACCGGACAACATTCTGTAACATCACCGTTTCACATCTTCATAATATATGAATAGTCCTTCAATTTTTAAAAAACCAAACCTGATAAATTTCCCTACAAAGAATAACAAAATATGCCATTCCAAACCAATAATAAACGGGGTCAGAAAAATCAGAAAAAAATTTATTTTGCCGTTGCTTCACTCGTAATTGGAACTTCAACAGCTATTGTATATAAAAACCAAGGCTTATAGAAGACGTCTTTTAAGCGGCTGTCTGTCACGACGATATTCGGCCTCTAAAAGTTATAGGTCTTTTCATTACTAAACTAACACTGAAGAGCTCTTCAAAAAAGAATGGACTTCTGCTGGAGAAATTCCAGCTATTCGAACATGAAGTTTATCATGGATTACTCCAGGAGGGCCTTAAAGAATTCAGGATCCCCATTCTGGACGGATCCTATAGTCGTTTGAAGGCTTTAATAACGAACAACTAAATTGCCATTTTCTTAGACTTAAATCTCACTTTTTCAAACTATTTTGTGCTTATTTTAAAAGCTTGCTGCAATTCTGAAGTTTTCTTTTTGTTCATTTGAGAATCCCACTCCGAAACCAGCGTTTACTTGTTAAGATGCTTTAAAAACGCACTGCTCGACTGTGTTGACCTGATTATGGAGCCATGGGCCAGTACCTTCAGCGATATCTCTTTTCCGCTGACTGCTTGCTTCCGGTAAGAGCGCGTACGAAGGAGTTTGTGATACCGTAACGCTTGATGCAAATATTGCTAGGAACTTCTGTATGCTATTACAGAAGAAGCAACCGGCGGAAGGGAAGAATATTTGACTGGTAGAACCGAGCTTTGACCAGTAATCAATTCAGAACAGACGAGCAGCTCGTTTTCAGTCCTTCCTAACAAGTATAGGCTGGTTCCAAAATGAATGTCCTGGATAAGTACAAAACTTTCTGAAACTGAAAGCAGGCTTTTACGAGAAACATGAAGCAGTTGAAAAAAGTAGCACTTAAGTCAAAAAAAAAACAGGTCTCCTTCATTCGAGCCAGTAAAGTTCGACTCCTCATTATTCGCAATTTCTAGCGACCCTGTATTCATTTCTGGATGAGGGTCCTGGTTACTCAAAAACTGTTCCGGATTTATGTACGCAGCAAGCTTCATGTATGAAGAGTTGGATCTTTCCAGCAGACAAGCCTACTTTTTAAGCGGGACTTTCAGAGTTCGTTTGGTTTTGAAAATCCCTATAACTCTGCCACAAACCGCAATATACAAAAAAGCAGGAAATCGGGACTTGGCCAAACTAAGCGCATTCCGCCACAAAGAACTGCAACGCTAATTTGAAAACGAAAACATCAGATGCGAAACTCATGCTTAATCTCCGGCGAAAGATTTTTGTAAACGGAAATTCTCGTTTGGAAAAATTCCTGCGGTTTTGGCGCACTGCCATTGTACTATACAAAGTTAATCTGGACATAAAACGATGGTCCTTAATAAAGTCCTGCTAAATTCTTGCATTTCGTGTTCAAGTGGTGTGACGACAATAGCATGGTATTTATCTGTGTCTTATCCCTCGTTTTTCAACTTTCTTGCTTTTCAAGCTTCTTTTTCCTGGGATTTTAGCTGAAATCTCAGATTACTTTGATTTTTTATTTGTAAAAGATGAAAGCAATTTCACATTTTTTGCACACATTAACTTAATTACTGTAACAAGTCTCCTTTTTGGTCAAAAACAACTTATTTTTTCCGTCACGATCATACAGTCATCTACCTATCTAGCAATTAAAAAACGTGTAAAAGAAAAGATACGGTGAACATTTTAATTAAGGGGGGAATCGTCTAAAATACACACCTAAAAAATGAGAAAAGGCTGGAAAATAATTGAAAAAGTTAAAAATTAGCTTGTTACTGATTTGGTACAAAAATTTCTTCGCGTAGGCCAGGGGGAACGACGATTTACCTTTATGACCGCCAAGAAAAATATTGGCTTAAGCTTCAATTAGGAGGGTTTTTAGCTACCCTACTCTAAAAGCCCTGCAGTTGTTTTGGTGTCATTCTGTTCGTCACATTTGTGACTTCATAAAGGTTGCTGAAGTTTACTGAACTGTATTGCCCCCAGTGAACTACCTTCTAGAATATGATTACAGAGGCCGGAAGCAGCAATTAGCCACAGCTCTGGCGAACACAAGAACAGCAAGCAAAGGACGAATAATAATTCCAGATTAACCGACAAGTTGAAACAGTTTCTTAATTAGGAGCAAAGACAACTTGTATTTCACCGCAAATAATAAATTTTTAAAAAAATGGCTTAGTCACTCTGTCAAAAACTTCGCATACCTCAAGGCAACTATAAAAAACAAGTTTATAATGCCTAGAATGCTCCAGAAACGAGCCACTCAACTCTGCTAGCTCGACTAAGGGTTGGTGGTCATCGTTTTGCGCTACTTTACATTCTTTTTATTCCCAGAAAGGTCCTCCCGTAAGAAGTTCATTTCACAACCAACTTAAATTTGTAAGCGTACTTCAGGAATGAGCCATTATCAGAGAACTCCAATGCAAATTTGACAAAAAATTTCTGGAGAGCGAAAATGCGTAATTTAGAAGAAGTGCAACACTCTCTGTCATCTGGCGCTATGTTGCTTAAATATTATACAAGCTACTTGGATAAAAGTATTCTAAACTTTTAAGTTACATATGTGGATGATTAGTCACTTATTAGGGGTTGTTTATCAAATTTGTCCTGTCTGTTATTTTTCTGTGAAAATTTTGACAGAAATATAAAGAGCATATTTTTTTCTTACTCATACCGTTCCAATAATCACTGTAGTGGCTTTGTTAGGTGCCGTAAGTTGTATTTGTTTTCTTTTTACTGTAATACGTGTAACAAGTGGCTTAAAAGGTGAAAAAAACCAGTTGTCGTTAGACTGCTGCCCCCATCACGCTGATTAGCTGGAGAGAATAATGGCAATCAGAATCCCGCTTTTTGGTACACTATATGAATGTCACATATCGATAACGGTGAGAGGTATCTCCTCACTCCTCTGATGCACAGCCAAGGCAATTAGTTGGTTGCGCACAGATGTATAGAAAACACGAAAGTTGCACGCTTCTAGCAAGTGTTCTTCTGGATTCAGAGGGAAGTCAAATTTTTTGGTTCACCCAACCGATTGCGTATCAGATGGTTCACTCGACAGTAAGACTGCCGTCAAAAGCTTTCTAGTGAAGAGAGAGGGAGAGTCAAGAAGGAAACAGCAAGTCTTTTTTTTTGAACACAGGTACAAAAGAGATAAAGGAGAGGGAGGGGGCCGGGGTAGGGGAGCAGTCTTTGTGAACTCCTCTCAATTTACCGAATTGTACAAAAACTGTTTATATATGACTTATACTGGTTCGAGATCGATCTTTCATTCTCTGTAGATTCTGAAAAAGTTCTTGAGTTGCCGATGTGCTTTTCAGAGCAGTCCAATTTTTGAAAAGCCTTTCATATGAAGGATACTCTTGGAAGCCTTACGATGCTTTCGTGCTCTCAGTGCATGCATCTAAACAGCAGCTTTTGTTGACCTGAATATTGTGTAAGCGAACCGACTTGGCTCACCAGTACCGAAAAGCTCGCCCCACTCCTTCCGAGTAGAACCCATAGTTACATTGCCAACTGACTTATTTATGCATCACATTCTGTAGTGGATAGACAATGCACCGCAGCTTACATGCGGTCTCCATATTTCTTTATGAAGTGCAGTCGCCAATCGCTGCGCTACTCTCCCTTATCTCATAAACCCGTCGACATTTGAACAGTCAAATTCATAAAAGAGATTACTTACTGACTTAAAGCTGGTCATTCTGCTCGTCAGCAAGGTGAGCAGTGAAGTGCCGCACGGCTGCTGCTGTCTCATGTAGGATGCTATTATGCAGCACCCCGGCATAGCTTGGTGGTTCCATCTCCGCTCTAGTAGGCAGAACTTCCTTGAAGACTCCGCCCATAGAGCGGAGAAAAAAGTGGAGCCACTAGCCTAAACGAGCTCCAAAAAATCTAGAATGGACAAGTCTGTCATCTAGTAAAACGGACACAAACCAGCAGAGAAGTATAATTTTTCATTTGAAAACTTAAAAATAATACTGAAAATATTAAGTACTGACTTAAAAAAGAAAAGAATAAAAAAAACGTTGAAATATCCTCCACACTTAATTTCCCATATTTCTGTTTGTACGATCCTTTCCTCGTTCAAAGCAGAGAAGAAGTACGGAAGTAGCCTTATCCTTCAACTAACACCTGGTCACGTGAATATTTGTAACAGCTTTGCTAAATGTACATGGAAAAAAATCCCTTAGTTATACAAGTACGTAAAAAAAAGTAATGTGAATCACAAAAATAGAGAAGCGATGGACAAGGAAATACAAATTCCGGTTTACTAATTTCAAAAAATAATGGCAGAAAACAATGTTTAATATCAAGTAGCTCGCAGTTTTCTATGAAAGAAATAGTGCTTATAAAGAAGAAAAAGAAAGATACTGAATTGGATAAAGGTGGCGGAGTTGAAGGCTGATTTGAAGGGAATGGAGAGAGCGAGCTGTGTCAATGCATCACGCTAGACGGGAAGTGGGTTTTCGAATGACGCAGCAGAGAGAAGGAAGATAACAGCGGCATCCTATTATCCTCTTTCCTCTCTTGCGTTATTCAATGTGCATATTTATACACAGGTTCACTTCTAATTTACTTTGAAGAATTCTTTCGCGGCGGAACCAAAACCACAGTGGTGCGATCAGCTAGCAACTCGTAAAAATGCTGGCTTAAGTTCAAATCAAGCGGAGTTTACCTGGCCTATTTTTAAAGAACTGCTTGTTTTTTGAAAACATTGCTTTCCTTAATTATTCTTACCTATTTTTCACTCCCCTATGTTGATCTTTAGAGCAGGTGTCGAAATATTTGCTAAAATGTGACGCTGAGGCAGATTTCCCCAATAACTCCCTTTTTGGTCTTTTTCTTTTTTTTTCAATTGAGTTTATGAGGAAGATACAGTTTCTTTCGTTTCTTGCGTATAGGTTCCTCCTAGTGTGCCCCTAACATGTACGAAATCTTTTGGGGTACTTACCCCAGCACTTTTTTCTTTTCAAAAACCTGCTACTTGTTGACGCACCTGGGCTGGTTTTTCGTGCGGTTTTAATCATTTTTTTTTTCACTTAAATTTTCATTTAGACCAACTATTTGTGAAGAGTTCGTTATTTTTATGCTTGCCGCAGTTGTGGCTATGTGCTGTTTGTTGGATTTTTTTCATTCTCCTATGCTACACAAAGAAGGTACAAACAAATTAAGAGAAAAAAATCAGCATTTAAATCACACTCCAGCGGATAACTCAGGCAGTGCATTAGATTCCACTAAAGTTCAGCAACTGTTCTGTAGACACAAAACTGACGAGCAGACCAAAACGCCAGAGCAGCCTCAGAAATCCCATCAGTTAATAATGCCCCACATCAGGCTCAAGCCGGCGTCCTTTCAGCACTCACGAAGAGACATTATCGTATCCCCTCGTCCTCCACCATTATACGCAAAGAAAGGCAAGAAGCGGACTCGCGTTTGTTCATGAAATGCCTTCACGTTTTTGCCTAAATTCCATTAGTTTTCTTACCTTGAAGATGAAAAATACTACTCACTAATTCTCTTTCTTCATTTTTCTCTTTTCCTTAAAATTATTTTTGCTTTTATGGCTTTTTTTTTTAACTGTTAACTGCTGTTTATGTAGCTTATAAAAAAAACAGCAGGTATTTCTAGGAAATAAGCAAAGTTATTATACTAAGTAGGTTAAGAAACATATGCTAATAATGAAAATCCTAACAATTTTCCGCTAAAATCTCAGCGGAAAAAGAGCTAAAAAACAAAAAATTTGGAAACGAAAGAGGCAGAGCATTGATACGCAGCATATAATTGATAACACGTTATTTGAACATATTAATACAAAAGTGGCACTGACTCAAAACCGCTAGATTTTCTCCAAGAGAAAGCATTTTTTGCTTGCAAAATCAGAACTGAATCTTTGCGCGTATATGTGCCCCCGGCCTCTGTTCAACTCTGTTTTTAAATAAGTCAGTCTCCTTTCTAAAGAGCGGAATAAACCGTGCGACAGAATAAAACACAGAAAATAAAGTAATAAAGGCTACTTCCCACAACTGCA